CCCCAAACCCCAAAACCCCAAAACCCCAAAACCCCTCTTTGTCTATTCTAAATTGGAATAATTTTATAATCATTCTTATCTTGGGATGTGCACTCCAAATAGTAAGAAACATAGAATCTAAGACCTAACAATTTTAATCCACGCTTTATCATTTAAGTGATTGAATGCTTCAAAAAGTTATTTATAGCGGTACATCTCATAAATCTCTGAAAGAACTGGAGCATCAAGGATTCTAACCTGACTAATATAATCGACCAATTTAATCAAGTTTTTCTTGGTCTCCAATTCATTTTCTGTGAGGGTTCCATCAGGGATATCCTTTAGCATATCAAAGTACACATCCATGACAATAGAAGTGTTATTTCCCTTGACTAAGTTTTCAGTGAGCAGATCTGAAGGATTATATGGGTCAATTCCTGAATCTGGGATATAATTATCATAATCATTCTCTGCTGCTCCTAAGTTAGCTGAGATCTCTTCCAACTGCTCTTTAATATACTTCTCCATCTCGTATTCTGTCTTTGGCCTTTGCTTTTCCTCCATTGATTCTTCAATACCAAACATGGTGAGGTTGGATTGGCTGGTTAAGGATTTCATCTCATCTGTTTCAGATTTGATCTTTTCTCTCTGAACTTCAGCTTTGAAATCTCTAAGGTCAGAATCTCCAAGACCATATTCGTACTTGATATCTTGCTTTCTTTCTTCGTCAAGTTCCATTTCTTCATTAGCGAAGCTGAGAATTTTTCCGTCTTGAACTTCATCCCCATCTTCTTGAGCCATAAGTTGGCTGAGGATACCATCATCCTCTCCGATGGGGAGCTCTTCCTCGCTTTCCTCCTGAACAGGAGTGATGACTTCTCCTTCTGAAGAGTCAGTGGTATCTGTTGTAATCCCTTCCTCAACTGTTTGGTAGGCAAATTCCTCAACCTTTTTCCCAGTGTCGAGGACTTTCTTTAGGTATTCTTGTTGCTCATGAGCTGCACTTGAACTTGTATCGCCAACATTGAGCCTTCCAAACTTGAGAGCCTGCACTGCGTTCTCTGGAAGATAAATAATATCAGTATACTGTGTCCACAGCATTATAAGATGAAATAGAGAGGTAATATTAGTTTCTAACTTCTTAAGTTTCATTTTTGGAACACTATCTTTCTTTTTCATCTGCAAAAGTTCATTCTCATACTTTTCCTTGAGGTCATTGAGGAGGTTCTCCTGGTCATCCATAGCTCCAGTTATAACACCTGCCATGAGTCTATGATACTTTTTGGTTATTTGTGCTTCTTCAGTCTTTGTGATGAACCTGATGCACTTCTTGAGATTTCTGTACAAAGGTTGAAGGTAGATATTTTTCTCCTCAACTGTTTCCTCATTCCTTAGTAACTTCTCAGCTTCAGAATAATTTCCATGAATAGTAAGCATTGCTAAATTCTGTAATCTTTCATAATAATGTGTAAAGTCAACGATAGTGGGAGATGGGACTGGTGCAGAAGTATCGATCTTCAGAGCTTGTAAGTACATTTGCCTCTCTCTTAACTTCTGCATATCCTTAATACGATGCCACTTATTTTTCTCCTCTGTCTCAATTTCTCTCTTGTGTAAATGCCTAATCTTGTTTTTAGCAAGCATAGCAACCTTGATTATGCTTGTCCTTTCATTAGTCTGTCTTTGCCTTAGATCTGAAAGCATTTTTTCCTGAACTGGAGGAAGTTGGTCACTGTCAGGGTCCCAGAATTTACTGTCAACCTCTGCTACATGCCTCTCATAATCTTCCTTATGTCTCCTTCTATATTCAGTGATTTGTCTATAGTATTCCATTCTTTCTGCAATCACATCTGGATCTTTGTCTCTCCAAACCTTCTTCCTGGCAAAAGTTCTTTGAGAAATGCATAGCAGATTTCTGTTAAGCATTGGATTACAGCTAGTTAGGCAGTTCTGAGCCCTCCGAAAATGATTCAGTTTGATCCACATTCCCTGATTATTAAAATTTTATAATTCTCAACTAACATTGAGCAATGAGGGGTTTTGGGGTTTTGGGGTTTTGGGGTTTTGGGGTTTTGGGG